TCGACCAGAAGGGGCGCTAGATTAGAGGGGTTAACACAGCAGGTCCCAATAAGAGACAGTCCACTGGTGCAGCTGGACACGGTCTCATGCTCTCTATCTCGATATCTCCTGTATAACCAGACCCGATAGAATCTGAAGAAATAGCAGGACCCAATAACCATTCATGCATATAGAGCTTACTGCTCCTCAGAGCAGAACCACAAAAGAGAGGATTCCATAGAAACACAAATCCCTCTTACCTCAGGGAGCGCAGTGTATTCCAGCCCACTCCGCAGAGGAGTGATTACTGGTTCAACCATAAGGGCAGTGTGACAGTGAGGACCCACGGGCCCGACCGTCTATGGAGCGTTGAGCTCCTCAACGCCTCAGCGAGAGTAGCTCTAGCTCAGAGAATGTTCATGAAGGTTAAGGAATGACTCAAATCTCGGGAGACCCCTCAGATTTGTAGAAAACGAAGTGTTTGAGAGAGGCGGGGCATAGAGGACCTACAATAATGTACAGTATTTGAAAAATAAGGTGTTTTTTGAACATTAAAGCATGTCAGCATATTCTGTTACACCAAATACACAAAATAATGATCTTTAAAAAAACATCATATGACCCCTTTAAGCGAGGGGAGGCCAAACCTACTCAACAAAGACTGTTTATCAAGGCAGCCCCACAGAGGGCCGAACACATGATTCCAAGTCTAGCTGGATGGAGCATATCGCAAAGCATGTACTCAGAAGAGTACTAGCCCCTACGAGAAGGACCCGCAAGTCCTGAGGTTGCAGCGTTATGCTGGGGACCTGATGCTGGGATGCTTCCTCAGAAGCCCAGGCTGCTTGTCCAAGCCTAAGATGAGGGCTATCACCAGCCTGGAACCAGAACCGATGAGTGAAACCATCACTGTAATCGGTCAACAGCAGGAGGTCCTGACTTGGCAGGTGGGTCAAATCTAAAAGTCAGAAAACAGAACAGGTCCGAGTAGCGCTGCAGAGAGAGGCTAGCATCGAATACACAAGAACTAGCAGTAGAGTAGATAAAAATGGATCATACTCACCAACCATGACTCCTGCACATTACTCAGGCTCATGGATATAGGCTGGAGGCGAAGTCCGAAGCCTGGACCTTCGTGGAATGAAGGATTTAAAGGCAGCCGAGCGCGTCTTGGCCTCCTTAAACTTCACAACCACCGTCTCGACGGAAGTGCAGAAAAGCTCAGAAGGGGAAACCGGCGCATCAAGAAGAAAGCCCTTCTCTTTCGACCCGATATCCACCAGACTCACCCACAGATGTCTCTCCATAACCACCATGGCTGCCGTGGATCTGCCCATGGCAGTGGCAGCCTGCTTAGTGGCACAGAGAGCAAGATCCGTGGTGCGATGCAACTCAGCCACCTCATCAGGGGATGGACCCTGCCTTTATCCAGGTCATTCAACAGATCAGCCTGAAAAGTGTAAAGCACCGCCATGGTGTGCAACGAGACTGCAGCCTGACCTACTGCCGCGTATGCCCTGCCATTCAAACAAGATGTATCCTGAAGGGGTTTGGATGGCAGGAGAAGATGAAGAGAAGATATCTGGGTCCTTTCCATGTTCTCACCGCGACCGCAACGCGCAGCATGCATTTAGCTCCCGCGGGAGCTAAACACGCTCCGCCCAACTGCTAGATTACCTCAGAAATCAAGCGAGAACGAAAACGGCTGCCGCGAATGCGTCGCTATTCACGCGAGAGGTGAACGCACTCATGCAAACGCTATCTACAAACTCGGGTAAATGGTGAAGTACTCACATCCCCCTCAGTAGTCCCGCAAACGCATCACGATGAGCACAAGCCGTCTCCTCGTGAGACGAGCGTGTTCAATTCATGCTTATCCCTCACAGTGAAACTGCAGGTATCAGAGCAAAGCCTCTGGCGAGAGAACATGCACTCCTAGTCGTGTTTAGCTTAACGCTAACATAAACAAATGGTCAGTGAAGATGAAGAAGAGGATGTGTTATCCCAGCGCCCTTTTATACTGTGCTAGCGCAGGGTAATGACGTCATAGGCTGTCGCCGGCCAATTTTATTGTAGTTTTTAGATGTTTGCTTCAGACACTGGTCACGCTGAAGGCGTTCCCCATAGCGACCTCTAGAGGACGCAGTTCGAAGTTCCCTCAAAAGGGAACCATACAGTGAGTGAATAAGAAATCTCAGAAACATTTCCTTGAGCAAGTTATTTGTAAAGGTCCTTTGAGGACTGCACTGAAACTTCTTAGGTAAATGTACTATTTGTTCTAGTTTCTGTTAAAGCTGAATCACTGTTTATTGGACAGTGGCTGCCATATGATTTCAAGTGAATTTTTTATCTTGACTTCTGTTTGTGTGGTTATACAGCAGACTTGGTAACATGACAGAGAATCTTACCCTCATGGCTTCCTGGATGTGGTCCTGTCTAACAACTTCTGCTGATCGGTCCATATACCACTTCAGACAGCGAATCAACTCTCTGAATTTGAAATTGAACATCTAGTTATACCATATTCAGATTATATATATATATATATATATATATATATATATATATGTGTATATCTTCATTTTCATTTATTCTTTACTAAGATTAGTTTGCTTGCTCAAACTATACACTGAAAAAATGGTGTAAAAACTATTTTCACTCAAAAATTACTAGTAAATTTCCCAATTACAAAGATTAATTACAAAGAAACAGCAAGTAACACGTCTAATTAAATGTGAAATTTTAAAGTACTATGACTGGAATTGTATTTTCTTGTAAAAGGTACTCTAGGAATCTTTGGTTTATTTACAATTTCAAAAGATCATATCTTGCAGTTTATCTTGACAAAAATATCCTGTGAAAATACATGGACTTACTTATAAGCCACTGCTCCAGCAAAATGCTTCTGGATGTAGGTATCCATCACAGGCCGGAAGTGATAAAATTTACTGTCCCGGAGCAGATTGATGATGAACACCTGGACAGAGATGGAAAGCAGAGGTCAAGAGGTTCCTGATCAGCTCTGACTCATGTTGAAAATATCAGTATGCATCAGTGTTCAAATTAATTTGAACTTTTAAAATTAATTAAATCATTTATTTATTATAAAATATATCTATTTTTTTTTTTTTCACTTTTAGTTATTTTAGTACATCGAGTTAAAGGAATAGTTCACCCAAAAATAAAAATCTGCTGAAATGAAGATGTAGATGAGTTTGTTTGTTTATAAGAACAGATTTGTAGAAATGTAGCATTACATCACTCGCTCACCAATGGATCCTCTTATTGCAAAATGAATATCAATGCAAGAAGAATGCATCAGCGTAGGCTCTCTATTCTCCACACAGAAACATGACAGATGTATTCAGGCCAAGAGATGCTAGAACATCTTGACTTTTTTCACAGGAGTACGAGAAGCTAAAGGCTCTCTGGAGACGCCACTATCAACCAGCTGTGAACGCCTAATAATGTCTGGATCCACGCCAGCTGATATCTTCCATTTTTCAGAACAGACACACACACACAGCATGGGCACTCATGAAAGAGATGAATCGAATGCATTAAAGGGTGTTCATACACGCAAACACACAGTACATGTGGGTCTGAGTCTTTTGATGAATGGAAACCGGACACGTTATTACAGCGGTGAATTATTAATGTTAGTTAAGCTATGGCGTAGTCCTAGAAATGCCATTTGTTCAAGTTTCTAACCAGTGACTGAAACACCAGGGGTCCATATTTGTCTGTGTTGTCATCCAGAATGGAGAACAGCGTGTCGAGGATGTCTTGAAGAAACTGGAGAGGAAAACAGAAAATTAATGTAAATTACATTAAGCGGACATTAAAATCTCTTATTTTAAAAGACAAAAAAAAACAAGCCAGAGCTCTCACTTTGACTATTTCTTCCCCACAGACGTGCCGCAATCGCCCTAAAATGTCCATTACACGGTCTGGATGTGCTTTCCACTTCAACAAAGCTAGCAGATCGACTTCACAACACAAACACAACAAGAAAGCGTCATTATACTCTAAGAAGTAGATGCAACAACTGATGAATAAAGGAAAAATTGTCAGTAAGTGTTAGTAAATTACCATTCTGAGTCAGTTTGGTGGAAGAGAGCTGAGTGGCTATCCAGAGGGTTTCCTTAGTGCTGCGCTGGAAGATGAGGCTGGACGGGATGTTCGGGCAGCCGTTAAAGTCGTCTTTACAGCAGGGAAGCCCCAGGTACAGCGCGTGGTTACTGAAGGTGGTGTTTTCATCACACTGATCCACATGCACAAGAGAGTTTAACAGGGTTATTATCCTTAACTATAACTGAAAACATAAAAAATGCAACTTGAAAATAAATGAAATAAACTGAAATAAAATATTGTAAGTATATAAAAAAAAATATGACAGCTAGTTGTTAGTTTCTCATTTTCATTTAGTTTAACTTGAGGTACTAAACTAACTAAAACTAAAGCTGAAATAAAAATGATTTTTTTATTGACAAATATAGACATTAAAAACGGTAATAAAAATCACAAAAACACTAGTAAATTACAAAAAAAAACCTAAAATGAAAATGAAATATTAAATGTAAAAATAAAAACAAATTTAATATATCTATATACATCTATATCTATATCTATATTTATATCTATATGTATATCTATATCGATCTATCTATCTATCTATCATCTGAATGTATATCTATCTATCTATCTATCTATCTATCTAATCTATATTTATATCTATATGTATATCTATATCGATCTATCTATCTATCTATCATCTGAATGTATATCTATCTATCTATCTATCTATCTATCTATCTGTCTGTCTGTCTGTCTGTCTGTCTGTCTATCTATATACATGTTTTAACTCTTGGCAAGTGGATAAAAAAACAGTTTTTATTTTTAATCCAACTTAAAATTTTATTTTAAAAATTCTATATTAATTTATTATTTGAATATTATGTGTAACAACATTTTTATTAAGTAACTAAATAAACAACTTATTATTTTTTTTTTTACATTTTTTAAAATCTACTAAATGCATAAAAACTGTGGAATATCAAGTCTTCCACGGATCTTGATGCTTGCATTCTTTTTTTTATGGTAAACACATCATTTCTGATGTGTTTCACATAATGTAATGTCTGCTTCACCTTGTAGATGTAAAGCTCATGGCTCTCGTCTGACAGTGTGGTACCGTCTTCCCTCATGAGTGGAGTGAAAGCAAAGCCAAAAAGCTTCTTTTCTCCTTTGTCCTTTGCTGTAAAAACAAACAAACAAACAAAAAAGTTTAAATATTCAAGTTTAAATATTCCAAAGTGTTTGTCAAGTTTCAAGTGCCAGTAGTTTAAATAAATTAAAACGTTAATAAAAATCATATCACTTCATGAAACAAGTGAAAAAAACCAAAAAGCTTAATTTTTGAGAATGTCGAGAAGTGCATGCATCATATAAAACCCAACACAACATTATCTCATCCATTTCAAAAAGGTTTTTTTTTTTTGTAGGCACAATTTATCTTTATATCAGTTGATTAATTTCAATTGGTAAGTGTAAGCCTTCAGATCAAAATGTCAGGAGAAAAATCAATTCAGTAAAATGTGTGCAACATTATACCAGTACTGTGCAAAGTCCTTACTTGAGCAGTGTCTGAACTCAAAGCGCAGATGGGAGCCACGGAAGCGCTCGATGGGGATGGGCAGTTTGATGACCTCACTCCAGCGCGGACTGTTGTTGTGGTAGAGGACGAAAGAGCGGTACTCGCTGATGTTGTGCTCTCCTGAGCCCAGACTAATGCACTCCTGATAAAACATAGAAGAAATTGAAACAGTTTTATGCAGCTTTATAGTGTGCATTAAAGTTTGCGACACCAGCATTTTTGATGGGCTTATGAAACTCATTTACTTCTCCAAACTGACTTAAATTTTGTTTGGACTAAATGATTCACCACATGAGCTTACAGATCACTGATATGTTTTTCAAAGGGATAGTATATCCAAAAATGAGAATTCTGTCATTCCATACCCCTACTGTTTGCTTCTGAGGATTCTGCGATTTTTATTTCAATAATCGTGCAGCACAATTCCTTAAAGTTTCTCCTTTTATACCAGGTTTGGAAAAACATGAGGGTGAGTAAATGATGACATAATTTTTATTATTGGCAACTCCTTTATTAGAGTAGTCTGACGTACTTTGAGGATCTCGCCGTCAGCGTAGAGCACATACATGGTGACCTCGATGTTCTTCTGAACGCTCTTGCCTCCTCTCTCAAAGTCTCCTCTCTCCAGCGTGAGGTAGAGGTCGTTGCGTATGTCGCCTGAAGATAGAAAAACACACACATTGTTTGGTAATATGAGTATTTTTCTTTTTGGCTTAATAAAACTGCACTTGTTACTAGGGGTGTAACGGTACACGTATTCGTACCGAACCGTTTCGGTACGGGTCTTTCGGTTCGGTACGCATGT